CCACATACCTGATGCTGCCACTGTGACGCTCTGCAGTGTGTGGCTGCCCCTTGCCCAGCACCTTGGGGACACTCAGAGCTGCTCAGGGCAAGGCCCTTCCCAGGGAAAACAGGGCTCCTGCTGCTGGGAATGAGGTATGAAGACAGTTCACTCTGGGCAGCTGACCCGAGGTGGTGGCACCCTGCACACAGTGGGGAGGGGAGTGATGGATGCAGCCACAGGTGATGCTGTGCCATGGCAGTGCCCACCAGCCAGGACACCTGCCCTGGCCAGACAGGGACAGGACTGTCCCTGCCACCACCCCCCACACTCAGCCCTGGCCATGAGGAGGCAGCCCCAGCTGGTGCAGTGGGTCCTGCCTCACTGACCTCACTGACTCCTTAACCAACCAGTCCCACACCTTCCAGAGAGGGTTTTTTTTAGGTTGGTTTGGGTTATGCAGAATCAGGAGCACTAAGCCTTTTGATTTACAGTATTCTGCTAAAACCAGAAGAAAAACCTCTTTGCAGTGTAAAATGAGGAAGATGGGATGAGCAAGGCTGGCTGCAGCCCCTGCCTGTGCTGGTCTGTAATATGCACTAGAAACAGCTCCTGATATCCTGGGGGGTCCCAGCAGCTTCCCCAGGCTCAGGCTGGCAGAGCCCCCTGAGCCACTATCTTCCCTCTTTAGCAGGAAAATTTGGGTGAGGGTGGCTGAGTCACACGGAGGTGGGAAAGCTCCACTGGGGGCTGAGCTGGCTGGTCCCTGTGTGTGTCTGAGCAGTTTGTTGTGGTGAAGGACCAAACACCTGCAGATATATTTTCTTTCAACAAGTGGCAACAGGTGAAATGGCTTTTCTTTCCCAGACACTGATCACAGGTAATGAGCAGAGCACAGCTGCAGCCTAGTCCAGGGGAGGGAATGTGATGGACAGAGCTGTATATGCAGAGGTTGTACACACAGGTCAGGGGAGCAGCAGATGAAGAGGCTTTGGCCTCCAGAGCAGCTGCTCAAAGCCTCCAGCACACAGGAGATCCAGTAGAGGGGAGGGTGACTGGGGGCTGAGGGCTGCTGTCTCCACTGACTGTGCTGGAGGCTGCTGCAATGGACAGAGGATCCAGGGAAAAGCCTCAGGCCCCAGTGAGCCATGCACAGACACAACACCTCTGTCCCTGGGATGGCATCCCAGGCAGCAGAGTTTGCTATCCTAATCCCATCTCTGGGACTGGAGGGGTTTCATTATCTGGTCCTCTCAGGTGATTAGCTGTGGTTTAAGTTGGAGTTGGTTTTCCATAGGTGAGCTCTTGATGTCCATGTGTAGAAAATGGTACCAGGAAAGGGAGATGTTCTGCAGGGTTTGAGAGTGGGACAAGGACATGGGTCCCTGCCCCTGTGGGGTGACCATGGGTCACTTGCTCTCCCTGCACAGAGCTGCCCTGGAAATTCCACTCCCTCCGGAGCAGTGAGGGTTATGCCAGGACACACACACTGCTCCCCAGTGCTGCCCTGGCTGCTGCTGAGATCTCTGGTGCTGTTTCCTCACGAGAAACACCTCGGTGGACTTGCAGAACCAAGGGCTGCTCTTTCCACTCTCAAAACACCAGAAAGATCTGGAACATCTTTCCATTGCAACTCCCTTCCCTCTGCCTCCCCCTTCCCCCAGCTGAGCCATTTCACTCCAGACTCACCTCCAGCACAGATGCCAACCCTGTCCCCACGCTCACCCGTGTCACCCCTGGAGAAGAGCCCTGTGTGGTCCCCCCTGTTCTGTTCCACATCAGGTAGCACATCCCATCAAACTGCTGTGAGATGCTCCTGCTTAATTTGTGTGCACAAACAATCAGGGGCTGAAGCTGCTGCCTGTGAGAGCTGCACGTTTGCTCAGGTCCTGATTGATGTGCAGCTGTGGCACCAACACTTACACCAAGGACACCCAACGAGAAAGCAAAACATTTTAAACCCAACTGTGGCACTTACTCGTTGAGGGTATAATTAAGGGTATTTGTCTTTAGGCACCAGGGAAACGAGCTGCTGTGCTAAGTGCTCTGGAAAGAGCAAACCTGCACCCTCCAATCACATGAGCCCCATTAGGGCTCTCCCAGTGGGACTGGGATTCACAGAATCGTGGAACTGTTTGGGCTGGAAAAGAGCTGGAAGGTCACCAAGTTCCCCGTGCTGGGGAGGGCAGTGGGAACATCCTCAGGGATGCTGTAAGGGCAGCACCTTCCTGGCTTTCAGCCTGAGAAATGCAGGAAAGGAGCTTGGAGCCAGGTGGGGGTCGGTCTGTTCTCCCAGGTAACAAGTGATAGGACACGAGGAAGCAGCAGCAAGTTGCACAAGTGGGAGGTTTAGGTGGGATATCAGGGAAAAACCTCTTCACTGCAAGGGCTGTTGGTCACTGGAAGAGCATGCCCAGGGCAGTGGTGGAGTCAGCACTGCTGGAGGGTTTAAAGGATGTGTAGATGTGGCACTTGGTGGTGGTGATTTAAAAGATGGTTTAATGGTCAGCTTAGCAGTGCCGAGGGAACAGTTGGGTTCGATGATCTCAAAGGGCTTTCCCAACCATGATTGAGGTCACGCTCAGGACACTGTCCCAGCTCGCGGCACTCTCTGCTCGCGGCAGGGCAGCGTCCAGCAGCCAGGAACGCTCCAGCACCGGCCCGGGACACAAACTCCAGCGGGACACAAACTAACTCCAGCGGGACACAAACTAACTCCAGCGGGACACAAACTAACTCCAGCGGGACACAAACTAACTCCAGCGGGACACAAACTAACTCCAGCGGGACACAAACTAACTCCAGCGGGACACAAACTCCAGCAGGACACAAACTAACTCCAGCGGGACACAAACTCCAGCAGGACACAAACAAACTCCAGCGGGACACAAACTCCCCCGGGAATTGCTTCCAGCAAGGAACTGCAGGAAGGAGCTCGGAGCGGCTCCTTGGCACCGCCGCGTGGACACGCGGGGAACTGCAGCGGCGCGGGGAGAGCCTGGGCCAGTGACCACCAACCCCTGAGAGCACAAACACTGTGACCATCAACACTGTGACCATCAACCCCTGAGAGCACAAACACTGTGACCATCAACACTGTGACCATCAACCCCTGAGAGCACAAACACTGTGACCATCAACACTGTGACCATCAACCCCTGAGAGCACAAACACTGTGACCATCAACACTGTGACCATCAACCCCTGAGAGCACAAACACTGTGACCATCAACACTGTGACCATCAACCCCTGAGAGCACAAACACTGTGACCATCAACACTGTGACCTGACCACCAACCCCTGAGAGCACCAACCCCTGTGACCACCAACCCTGTGACCACCAACCCCTGTGAACACCAACCCTGAGACCACCGACACTGTGACCAACAACCCCTGTGAATACCAACCCTGTGACCATCAACCCCTGAGAGCACCAACCCCTGTGACCACCACCCCTGTGACCACCAACCCCTGTGAACACCAACCCTGAGACCACCGACACTGTGACCAACAACCCCTGTGAATACCAACCCTGT